TATATCGCGGCTGAAGTAGCGCGTTTGGGTTGATGCGATAAGAGCGACTTTGCCTTATGTAAGTCTTGGTGCGTCAATTTATCGCATTGGAGATAAGTTGCTCCGTTAACTTTAAGTTTAAGCCGCTCTAAAAACTTGAGCATATAGGCGACTACCCGGAGGGCTCGGGGAAACGATGAAAATCGTTCAAGGATTTCAGTGTCATCCAGTGTTGCATGATAAGTGTCGATTTTACGACTCTCTGGGGCAAGTTTGTTGCGCATGGGCGATTGAGGGCAAGAATCGGGAGATTCTGTTAACCATCGGGGGCCATTCCACCAGAGGGTAGAGGAGGCGAGATGCAAAGGTTTGCATCCTCTTGTACCTAAATCAGCAGGATTGTCAGCACTGGCTACGTGACGCCAAGTGGCTGATCCTACTAGGTCAAGTATTTCAGATGTTCGGTTAGAAATCTAAGTTTTCCACGCATGTGGTGGTTTTTCTAACCAGACTAGAACTATCTCGGAATCGGACCATAAATATAATTTGTATTTCGCATTTTTAAGTGGGTCTGCACCATTGAAGCTAGCTTTGCTAGTAGCAGAGCGCCACAGAGTTCAAGTCGTGGGAGACTTAGCGTTTTTAGCGGCGCAAYTTTTGCTTTTGCCGCTAATAAGTGGCTTGTAGTTGCGACATCGCTTTGTGTACGCACATATATAGTGGCACAATATGCCTTTTCAGAGGCGTCGCAGAAGCCGTGTAGTTCCACTTTGTATTCGGGGGAATAGTTTACCCACCGTGGAATTCGTATCTGCGAAATGTCGTTCAAATTATTAGCGAACTGGGACCGTTTTTCTAAGCGAAGAGGTTTCACATGTTCGTCCCAGTCGGTTCCGTCTAGCCATAATTCTTGGATTAGGATTTTCGCTTGTATTATAATTGGCGAAAGCCATCCTGCGGGGTCAAAAAGTTTTGCCACAGAGGAGAGAATTTGGCGTTTTGTAATGGCGGATATGAACTCAGTCGTGTATGAAAACTGGTCCGATATCGCATTCCATTGGATGCCTAGTGTTTTTGTTGTACTTTCCTTTTCAAATATAAGGAAATTAGTATCCAACAAATGGTCTTTAGGAATATTTTTTAAAATATTTGGGTGATTGGCTGTAATCTTTTTTAAAGGAAACCCTGCGATATTGAGGGCTTTGTGTCTTCTGCCAGCTCGTGTAGTGTACGAATGGCTAGATATGGGGCACAGTTTACGCAGATATGGGGCACAGTTTACACAGTTTACGCCAAAGGTAACTGTTTTCAATTTAAAGTCCCGTAGTKGACTATTGGCAGATTTTCGGAAAATAATCCGCAGAAAATCTTGATCATCTTTATGAACTAGTATTTGTCGATACATCTTTTCAACATCCCCATTGAACACGTATTTGTATATACGCCAATTGTCGGTCCCGTATATAGAATATCATTTAGGGAATTCCCCAAGCTAGTGGATCTTGAGGCATTGAAGACAACTCTAACCTTTGTGGTTTTACTACTGCATGATGTGGGAAGTAGAATGAGTAATATTTGCCTTTTATAATTWTTTCGCATGGGCTTACTTCCTCCATGTGATCTAAATGGAGGTATTCTTGTAAGACGCCATCATAATGTTGTTTGAGCTCACCTTTTCTAAGTAGGTTTTTTTTCCATACTTAGAAACTGCTGTATTGCAGAGGTGCGAGAGTGACCTATGGCGAATGTATCTGGAAATTGTTGTTTAAATGGTAGTCGTACGACATACCGACCATTTCCTGATCTAGTAGTTGTGGCTTTGTAAAAGTCTTCAAA